TTTTAATTTTCCTTACCAAACATGACAGAGGCAGTTGCTGAAACAAAGAGGTAGAGCAGCAGCATCCTGAAAGTGTATTATTATTATTCTTCATGAGGAAGGTTGTCTGTGATCTCTTCTTTTTTTTTCTGTCACCCCATTTCAGCAGGTAGTGCTGGCTTGCTCAGGGACTATTTCAGTAGATCATACACATTAGCCAAGTTCTAAAATACCCCCCTGCACCATAAACTACCTAAAATATAATAATCCTTTAATCTGTCCACTGCATGACATCTAGGCAGTTATTTGACATAATAATTTGTGTTGATTTTGCATATCACTATGTATCAGAGGAGACAAGCGCCAAAGCAGTTGTAGAGAGATGAGGACTTAGGAAAATACCTGTGAGGCAGTGCCTTGGATCAGGAGAGACCTACTTGCATGTGGCAGGTGACCAACCTGCCACCGATGTGGCCATGTAAAAACTTTTTATGAGAATAATATTATCCTGAGATAAGCCCAAAACAGAGTAGGAGGGGGAAGATAAGCTACCAAGACCCAAGTTACAGAAGCACATTAATATTTACTTGATGTCTCTTTATACCTTCTAGTCAGCACAACAGATGTAGCTATGTTTCAATACATTATCATTAATTGAAAAAGGCAAAAAAGATAGCCTTTCACTCCCTCCCATCCCTGGTAATCTCAGATATTTGCCGTGTGCACTGGGGGGAGGAGGTGGAGAGCTGAGTGCTGGTGGGAGAAGAATGCAATTATCCCAAAGCCTCCTGACGGGCATCCACTTCTTCCTTCCAGCTTAGCTGCTCTGACCACAGGCTGGGGGCTCGTGGGACATGGACCAGATTGAAAAAGTGGAAGCAGACAGATGGTTATTTGTAATCATCATGTAAATGTAAATCCTATAAAAATGTTTTCTTTTTAAGGGTCTGAAAGCTGTTGTAGTGGAAAGCAGGATTAAGGCATGGATATCTAGCCTAGAATAATTTTGACCCTGCCACCTTCTCTCCTACCCCATAAACGTTGAGGCTTTATCTCCGCTTCCTTTGAACAAATTGCTGAAGCCTTGGTTGAGGAAATTAATTCCGTTTCCATGTAGTTCCTGGAGTTTATGAGCATCAGTTTGACCACGGCCTGGATTTGGGCCTAAGCTGGCAGGTGCTGGTAAGCAGTTGCCTTGGTAGCAGGGACTTCTTTTTTCTTCTTTCTCCGTCACTCTGGCAGGTGCGTGGCCTGTGAGTGTTTATCTCAGCGCTGCCATTGCTAGATGTGCTTGCTTTCCATGATTACCCTCACGAGTACCTGTAAATGGCCGTACAGGATTTTGTGTGCCTTAAAAGCTGACGTGACAGCTTGCAGACATCTATCTTGTTTGAGCAGCATCAGCTTGCTCAAGCTACAAAGAGACTGATCAAACTTTAATTAACTTTTGTCCGCAGCACCATTGTAGACTGTGTGTACGATTTAGCTGTCCTTTCCAGCTCTTCAGTCCCCTGGTGCCTTTCTGAACAGCAAGGTGTAGCCATCCAGAAGCTTTTGCCCTTCCAAGGTTTTGCCTCTCGAAATGTGAGGACGTCTGCACTGCCGTCGGGCTGTCAGAGGGGAGCAGCTCCCCTCTGCATCGCTGTTGCTGTCATTGGGGCTGCACGGCAGCCTCCGGGGTCCTGCTCTCCGAGGAGACCAGGTGAGCTGCTGTCCCACCATGGGCAGGCAGGACGGGATGCCGGCGATCCCTCTCTTCAGCATCCCTTGTTGAATGTAGAGTAACACCCATGCAAGGACAAAGGGAGCTGTGTAATGCATTGAAATCAGAATAAAGCAAAATAAGAACATGGGATGAGGAAGAGGAGCCTGATGTTGTTTTGCCACTTGTGTTGAATTTTTAAAACACTAGTATTTCTGCCCTGCCAAGAGGGCCCTGAGGAAGGCCGGCTTCTCAAGTGAACAAAAGCCTCCTGCCAGCGCATGGAGAGGGTGATCTGCTCAAGCACACTAATAGTTATTTGGAAGTACCCAGCAATTGTGGATAATTGGCTGAGGGATATTCTGCAGATCTCAACCATTTTTCTGTTTTCACAGATGATTGTGCCATTAGATATGGTGACTGCACTAAGATGTGCTGCAGCTTTTCTATTTACTGTGCTAATAATTGTGAACTCGATTTCCAGTTGATGCTCCTTTCTTCTGTGGCTATCTGTGCCACTGGAGTGGGACAGCCGAGCTCTCCAGCTCATGGCCTGGTCTCTGCAAGTGCCCTTCCTCTTCCCTGTTCCTTCTTTCTCTGGGTGATATTTGGATGTGCTGGGATGGCTGTACTGAACAGATTAATGTCTGTGCTTTGTATTGTCATTGTTACATTGCATTAAAAGCACTGAATCACAGGAATGGCAACTCGTGCCCTCTGTTCTTTACCTTGTTTTTCCCTTTGCTTTTGTTCTTACTCTTTTCCTTCCTCTACCTGGCTTTTTGTTTCACGCTCCATAAACTTACAGTGTTCCCCCTCTTCCTCTCTGAGTTGTTTTCTCTCTTTAATTTATATTCCACACATTTTTCTCTTATCTTTGTCTTTCTGTCCCTGCTTTATTTTTTCCTATTTCATTTTTCTCCATCCATTTTTTGTTTTTCTTCAAAACACAGAATCCTTTAGATGGAAATGGTGAGATATGTCTATTCAAGATTCGTGTATGTACTGAGGTACAGAGCAAGATTAAGTAAACCCTGTAGCATCAATTTTGTCTTCCATTCAAGCCAGATTTGCAGTAAGATGTGGGTAAAGGAATGTGATAAAATCAAATCAGCCCTTACCCCCATATTCTGAGGCTGATTGGAACCTTAGACAGTTGCTTGGATGATGCAGAGGAAGTTAATGTAATTTGTTGTGTATCACCCCAAGAAACTGTATTTTTCAGCTTCATATAGCAGTGTGAAATGTTCAAGGAAAACACCTTCCTTAATACTGTTTCCAGGAGTTAAGAGTCAGTAGTATAAAGTCATTATGTTGTGGAATCTACTGATTTTCTGGGGATTTTCCACTAGTAGATTTGCACTGAAATTCTGTAATTGTACAAGGGATCAAGCCACTAAAAATTAATATTTATTTTTTGTGTAGTAATAATGGAAGAAGTTGATGTTTATCCATTTGCTAGTTATATGAAGGGGCATAGCATTGCCTATAAGTATTTTTTCTTCCTGGGTATCATAGTGAACACAGAGACACATGAAGATGCTTCCTAAAATAGGTGATTTTGTAAGACTTTTTTTCTGGTTCTTTCCCTGAAATTGCTGTGGTATTAGCTTTCTTGGCATTGCAAAATGTTGTAATGCCAAATAGTCAGCAGCCCATGATCTTCATCATACTATTTCTGTGTTGTGCATTGCCTAAGTTATTTCTTGCATTTGATCTTGAAACTCCATAAATTCCATTTCTGTCAGTTTGATTACTGCGAATCAGAAGTGTACGAGTGATTTATATTAATCAGAAATATTTTGAGGTTGAGTCTTTTGTTATCTGTTGGAAAAAATGTATCAGTTGAGTGTATCACCTAGGAAGACTACAGGCTCTTGCCAGAGCTGGATTTGTTGCCAACTGTGTCCTGTCACTTTTATTTTATGCTCTGAGATCAAAGCCTAAATAATCACTCTTTTTTGTGTTAGAAAAGGAATTAACTTCCAATTAATTTCCTTCTTCCTCTGGGATCTACCTGTGTATCCCAAAATGGGGAACATTAAAAGTTACCTCATATGTCGTTCTGAGTGCCACATATATGCAGCCTGCTCACCTCAGCCCATTCAGAGACCAATTTGTGTATGTATTAATCATATTTTCTTCTGGCTTATTATAGAACAGAAAAATATTCAGTTCCAAATGTTAAAATGGGGCACATTTTATTAACATTGAAAGCAGTAAATTATCTCTGCTTATGAAATGAGACCGAGCAATTTCTGCTGAACTCTTCCTGACTTGCCCCTTCACTAGGATACAGTGTTTTCTAATTTCTCAGAGGGCCCTGGTTCCATTAAGGGCGAGAACTGTTTTAAAGCTGTAATGAAAGCCATACGTAGCTGAAATTCAAGGAGGGGAAATGCCCTAAATTCTATTTCAGTAGCTCATCTAGAGCTATTTTCAGTTTTATGTTTATAAGAATGTCAATTAACCTAGAGACTAGGACACACGTGGAAGAATAACGATGAAGTGGATATCATTTTAACACACTGAAGCCAGCTAGTTGGACCTAATCCTTCTTTATAGAAGCTTGATTTACATAAGAAGCTGGCCTGTGTTGCCTAATCTAGTTCTCAAACAGCTTGGTGATTTAAATGCTCTTTCCTTTCAGTGTCATGGGGCAGCACTGGTCAAAGTTGCAGAAATACTAAAACTAAAAGAATAAAAGGAAGAAATAAATATTCTGGAAGCACACTACCATCAGCTTGATTTCTCTTACACCTTTCAGAACTGGTGATCACTTCAGCATATATGTGGTGATGACAATAATAACAGTAATAATAACAATACCCTTAATCAAGGTGTAACTCTGCAATTCAGTATCAGTTGTGTGACTTTACCTAGCTTATGCTGAAGTTGGAGATCCAGGTAGGCCAGATATTTAGCATATTGTGTTCTGTAACGAAAAGAACTCAACATCAGACCTGCAGTGCTACTTTTGCAAGGATGGAAAATAACCCTGTCAAGGTTAAAAAGTGTAATAGGTACTACAGGTCTTTCTAATTTAAATGAAGAGCAGTGTTCTTATCTGGAGAAAAAACAAAGAAAATCACATGTATGTGAAATCTGCCTCTGTGGGACAGAAAGTCATGCATCACCAACTTCTTGTATGAGAATCTTTTATAATAAATATAAGATGCAAAGCCAACACCTAATAATGGTTGAGACTTGTTTGTTTGTTTGTTTGTTTCATAATATGTGTCTCTGTATTTTTTCCCCTCACTTACAATGTCATCACTTCTAGTAAATTTTTTCTTCTTTCCCTCACTTATTGCATTAGTGCTACGAGATGACTTCCGCCAAAACCCTACTGATGTTGTGGTGGCAGCTGGAGAGCCTGCCATATTGGAGTGCCAGCCACCTCGTGGACACCCTGAGCCTACCATCTACTGGAAGAAAGATAAAGTCCGTATTGATGACAGGGAAGAACGCATCAGTGTGAGTACAACTCAGGTTACTGGCTGTAGACACAGGGCCTGCACTGAAGTCCCACAGAACTCTACAGCCTTTCCTGTAGAGACTCGTCATTACTCTTGATCCAGCAGAAATACACAACTTAGCAAGTGGTTAGAAATTATATCATGGTATGTGCAAGCAAATGGGATAAATTAACAGTGCAATGACATATTTCATTCCTAATTTTTAAATGCTTAGTTTTTCACTATTAATATTCTTTCAATTAAGTTTTATGTTGTATGTAATGATATGTAACTCATTCAGTGCTGACCTTATTCAATATGGAAGTACTATCAGGAAGCTTGTTTGTTGGTTTGGATGCCTAAGGAAGTATTTCAAGCTAAACAATCTACGCAGCTGCTATTCGTGGTCCAAGTTGTCTCAGTTAGGGTCCATTCAAGAGTAGAGGAAGGAAGAGTGTCAGGGAACTGGTTTCTTTGGCTATATTCCTAGCTTATTCTGAAGCACCCATTGTCTAACTTTTGACACTGCCTGTGACTTCACAAGCTGCAAATTTCTTGCTTTATTTCTTTCAACTACTGTGCTCTTTCACACTATAAGCACCCTTTGTAGCCAGGAAAATGTCAAGTCTTATGGGAATCAGGTGAATCTCAGTTTGGGCTACATTCAGTCTGTTTGCCTTAAGGAAAAGAGAAAAACTGTCTTAATTAGTGAACAAGGAAACTGTTCAGACACAAGTAAATTAAAATGAACTAAATAAAAGTAAGTAAAATTGTCTTTTTCTTGAGAGGGATATCAAGAGTGCTCTATGTATCATCATGCAAGACATGCAAACACTCTGCATTGCCAAAGAGGCAGCAAGAAATTCAATCTTTGAAATGTAAAGCATCTACTGAAAACTGAAGAAAAAACTGAAATGCAGTTAAAATCAATTGTAGGATAAAATGTGTTCTAGAGCAGCACAGAGATATTTAAGTATATAGGATTATAATTTTAAAGCTATATATATATTTACAAAAAAAAAACTTTTAAATGCCTTAGTTGTGGAACTTACTGCTTGAGAAGGTAGCGTTTTTCTGATACCTTTTGTTTATCTGAATTTAAAAATATATTCCTTGTTTTGAAACAGATACGTGGTGGGAAGTTGATGATCTCCAATACAAGAAAAAGTGATGCCGGCATGTACACTTGTGTTGGAACAAACATGGTGGGGGAGCGAGACAGCGATCCGGCAGAGCTGACTGTCTTTGGTAAAGCCACTCAAGCTTTTGTTTCCTTTACACTACAGATGTCATAGACTGAATTGGCCTGGGCAGCTCATCAAAATATGAGACAAAACAAGGTTAACAAAACAAAATAGTACTGCTTAAGCTGCATTTCACAGTTTCTGAAGAAGACCTGCAAGGCTGTAATTTATAATTATGGAGCTGTGATAGCTCAACATTTTCTTTTTAAGCACATAGTTTCAGTCTGATCAATTCCTTAGTGCTGGACAGTAATGACGGTAATGCAGGACATAATGCTCTCCCTCACAAAATTGCCAGATGTAATTAAGCTAATTCTAATACAGTTGACAATGCCTGCTTAACTGAGATTTGGACCAGCATTGCCTGTTTAAATAATCCCTTATTCCTCTGGGGTTGTGAAATCAAACCTTTGTAGGAGAGCACAAAAGACCCCAACTGATCAGTAAGAAGTTGTTGGAGAAAATCCCGAGATCAACTTTTTTAGTATATAGGGATACCTTCGTCATTTGGTTTTTAAAGGGCATGAAGCAGGTTTTCATCCTGTAAGCCAGGGTATCATCTAGATTTTTGGTGCTGCTGAATGAATCAAAAATTTATATGTTTCCTGTCTGAAAGAGCTTCCAGACCTGATGGGCAAGGGAAGAAGTTGTTAGGAACATTTGCCCTATGGTTAGGATCTAGAGTGAGAACAGAGTAATACTGAAGCTAGAGCTGGATCCATCCTGCTAACAACAGGCAAATCCTACTGTGGTACATCTTGCAGTCATGACATTTCTATTTATCATTATCTCTGGTTTTGTAGGAATTAGTCAAGAGGTCTTGAGCAAACAAAAGAAAATCAGTAAGGAAAAAAACCCTCACTGCTAAAGAAAATGCATACACACATATGAAAGAGAAACAGTGTTAACGTTGCCTCCTGCTACACCTCTTTGATATCCTTGATACAATGCTGAAATTCCAAACAAGATTGCTTGTAACTCCATTAAGACAATTCATAGAAATCCTAGGGTCCTTTCTGAAGCAGATGCTCCTAATTGTTTCACTTTCTACCTAATATGGTGCACTGGAAAGCCCAGACACACATATTGCCATTTGTGTTTGCATGTATGTGCAATTCAATGTTTATTTGTCTACTTTAAAAAAAAAAACGTATTATGCGATTCACAAAAGGCATATAAAAGTTTCTGCTAGACAAGATCCATGAGTGATGGAAGATTTGCTGCTTTCCAGCATTATAAGACCATAAAGGTTTCCAGTCCACTCTTGTGGATTCATGGAAGCATATCACTTTTAAAGACAGAACTGGTATACCTTGCAAAAAAGCACAGAATGGATCTCTATCAAATTATTATGTCCTTTGTAGCCAATCCATTGAAGTTGTGCCTTTATACAGATATAAAAGAGACATGACATATCTTCTTCATCAGTTTAAGTACTGATAATGTCTAGTAATACTCCCTGTGGATAGCAAGCAGATTGCAGTCCTAAACTACAAAGCCTTAAGATATCCTTGAGAAAATAATTTGTTAAAAAGCACTGAACTGTAGGAATAAAAACTGAAATATGCATGTAATTTCATATCCTGCAGAGCTACAAAAAGTATTAGGTTTGTCTTGATATCTAAAACAATACATAGCCATTAACAATATTCTGAATTTCTTTACAGGATTTAATCATAGCAATCAACTTGTAAAATACAATCTAAGCCCATTTTGTGAATACTGAACAAAATCAGCAATAAATGAAATTAGATATTTTAATTCTTCATAATTGTGCTAGACTACCTAAAGAAAATTGTATTTAAAATTCCTTTCCTATCTGGGCATCTTCCAATGTAAAAGTCCCCTTCTATCTAGGTATTCCCTTCCTATCTTCCTTTTTGCTGTATAAGAACAGCATGCAGGAGGCAGGTGCTCACATTATGATCTGCTGTTTGACAAGGTGAGTCAACTGACCTGTGCCCATTTCCTGGCTGCCACCTGGCCCTGAAGCTCTATCCTGGTGTATTGGGCTCACTGTCTAAACATGTCCCGGTTAGTCCTGGCCTGCTCTGTGCAAAAGGAGGGGGCTTGGCTTTGCCTTCCACTGGCAGAACAGCTGTATTCCAGTCCTGGATTCCAGGCAGTAGCTCGTGTGTGAGTGGGTGCATGCACAGTGCACTGGAGAGAATTATCCATGATGTTTCCGGGAAGCAATGTATCTACTGAACAGTCCAATCAGTCTAAACATACACAATAAATCCAATAAATCCAGCAACTCTGGGAAACATCAGATTGGCTATGCATGTTCAGACTGAGTTTACTGAACACAGGCAAAACCATGGGTCATCTGTTGTCCACAGCCTTCCTCTAATATGACTCACAGGTTTGAGGAACATGGGAATAATGCAAATGTTGAGAAAAATATGCTAAAAATATCATAATATGTATTATTTGTATGCCCAACTTTAACTGGTTTGAACACATTTGAAAATGGCCTTTATAATTAAAATATCTTAGCTAAGAGACTTAGAGAATTTAATAAAACGGCTGGCAAGCCTACAGCTGGTGCTGATTCTGGAGAGGAATGTGTATTAATTAGCTGATTATTAATGTCTCTATTCCTTTTCCAAATAACAAGCCCCATATCCTTTTGATAGTGTGAAGGGGGCCTTAGTAAACACACTACTCCATAGGAAAAGGATCTGTTTCATACTAGCTCTCAAACCTTTCCAGGAATCAGCCACTTGTTACATTTGGCTCTGCAAGTTTTTCTCTAATACCTGAAGTTAATTTCTGCATGTGACTCATGACAGATCTCTGGCTCCCTATACAGTAAATTTAGCTTGAGGCATTGCCTCTGGAGAAACTGAGCCAGTGTGGTGGTAACTGGTGGCCCGAGGGGAACAGCATGGAAACCTAACCTAAAAGATTACACCTTTCCTGAGTTTTAAAAAAATTAAATAAAATAGGTAGTAAGTACCTTGGAAATAAGTAGGAGGAGAAAATGAAAGTTTCCCATGTGCAGAATGCATTGGCTGGGTACCCATCCAATAACCTTTGCTGAGAGATAGTTGTGGAAAATACATGTAGAACTTCCACAAAACAAATAATTTTTTTTTCAACCACATCAGCATAGGAAACCTAGCTTTCAACATGTAGGCACTGCTAACAGCATACTGTTTGTGTCAGTGCAGATTGCATTTCTTTTGTTCCCACATCATGATTCTTCTAGAATAAATCTGCCAAACTTCCACAGTAAAATATCGTAAAGCAAACTGATTATATAAGCATTGCTTCCCAAAATTATTCCTGTGTTTTGAATAGTGACAATGATGCGTTACATTTTGTTAGTCTTCTCTTTCAAGCACTACTGCTAGTTTTTGCCTTTACGAGGCTTCAAGGTATAGTCTTGGAGTAAAGCAAGAAGACAGGGTCTGTCACAGAGTCTAAGTTGTCCTTCAGAGGAAGTTAATAACTAATCCATCAATCCTAATGTTCACAAAAAGAGGCAACATGGTACTGTCTGATTATGGACACACTATTCTAAAGGCCAAATTCAGAAGTTTAAGTGATGCCAGTTAGGCTGCTTTGCTTGTGTTTCGGCTCATAGCCTTTGGCTGTACAGAAAGAAAGCAAGATGCAAAACAGAAACAGTTTCATGCCAATTTGTAAGAAGGCGTGGTTTGTAAATATATAATATGGAGCCAGAAATTAAATAAGTAAGAATTACTGCTTAAGTTAACTTTTTATCATTTCATCATACTACTGCACTGTCCTCAGATAAGTTTTCAAGTTGTTTTAACTATTTCAGACTCCTTCTTATTCCTTTGCACTTAAAATGGTACGTTTGAAGAGAATGTACAAAGGTATATCTTGTATATTGATTCTGAAGCTCAGCAAAATCAATGAAAGCCTTAATATATCAACTTCAAGAAGCTGGCATCAAGCAGTGGAAAAAGATATATTTAGAAGAGCCTCAGAAGAATATAAAGCATAACTAAAATGAGCACAAAAATGTCTTAAAATATATGTCAATTCAGACATATTAAAGATTGTTTTGGATTAATCTTTGATTTTAGCTTTGGTACATGAACTTTTTTTCAGCTAATAAGGTCCTGTGGGATGAAGAGGTATTTTTATCTGATGCTTGAAGGAGTATTTGTGTTTGATGTTCTCTAGACATTGCCAAGCTGAAAGAAATACCATAGTTGCAGAAAGAGCATGATATTAGAGGAACAAAATCAAAAAATCCCTTATGAAGACGTTGTACCCCATTTTACTTTCCTGAGCTCTGACTATGTGGAAGGCCTTAGCAGAGTTTGGTCTCATCATATCCCAGAAATTAGTCCCAGAAGCTTTCCCCACATGGAAAATCTACCAAAACTGGGTATACATTCATGGTTCAAGACAGAGAAATTGCGAGTGGGTATTCTGTCCTTCGGAGCAAAGCTCCTCCTGGTTTTCTTCAAATCCTTGTATTGCCCACTTGCAGTGTACTTGTGGAAGTTTACAAAAAGCCAGTTTGGCTTTGCAATATTTGTTATCCACAGATACTGACAAGTTGCAATGGGATAATGATATTGGTGTGAAAAGGGTCTGATTTGGTCTCCAGAGTCCATACTTAATGCTCAGTAAAGACTGAAATTAACACAGTTGTATATAAAAGGAGAAAACCAGCAACAATTGATAAAAATCATTCTACTTTATTTGCATGGGCCTCTTAACAGTGATCCGTGCAAGCTCATCACATCTTGGGTACTACTTTGAGTGTAGAAGTTTGCAATGTCTATACAAGTGTTTATTTCTGAAATGAAAAATGGAAAAGTGCTTAAAAAGAGACAGTAGAAGGATGTCTTTAAATATAAAACCATCTGCTTTTGCAATTGTATTTTCGTTTACTTGGCCAAAATACGTAAATTTAGTGTGATCCTAATACCCTGTCTTCCACATCTTCATTTTTGGCAGAAAGCTTTACTTTATCCAGATCATGTTGCAGTTAATTAAATATCTACACTATTGGCA